GGACGCCCGGGGATCAGTACCTTGGGCGGCAGCCTCTGGCACATGCGCAGCTCCGCAAGTGAAGCCGGGGCAGGGCAGGGCGGTTGGATGCTCCGTGCTCATTTATGTTTTTTGCAAACTGGCCTGGACACAAGTTCTGTCCTGGGTTGGGGCTGGCAGAACCGGCTCCCAACCTCATAGTGTCAGGGCGAGGCCAGACAGGGGAGCACAGAGCTGGGGAACCCCAAGAGGAGGACATGGGGTGGGGTGGGGTGGAGATATGAGATTTCCTGAAGGAGGACGCATTTTGGTGGACTTTAGAAAACATTTATCTTGTTGCTAGTATTGTTTCTTTAATCTATAATAAAAGCGTAATATTGCTAATTAGACAGGATGTCCTTCTGGACAACCTTCCAGATGAAGCTGGGGCTTCGAGGGAAACCCGAGTTCCGGTGCCGGAGGGAAGCCGGTGCTGCAGGGGAAGGAAGGCCTACTCTTGCACGAATTTCGTGCATTGGGCCTCTAGTTAAAATATAAGCTCCATGAGGGCAGGGTTTGTTTTATTCACTGATGCCTTGAAAGTCTGGAGTTATGCCTAGCACAGAGTGGGACTGAAAACTTATATGTTCACTTCCTTCAGCAGGTTCTCCCAGGGGACCTCTGTCTCTAGGAGGACCCAGATGCCTCCACCCTGGCTCTTGCCTGGAGGAGCCCCCAGACCAGCTCAAATAGGATAGAGCTTCTCATTTGGCATAAAATACAGAGCTGTCAAGCCACGGAGGAATCTTAAATGCATCTTGCCAAGTAAAAGAAGCCAGTCTGAAAAGGCAAAACTATGGAGACAGAAAAAAAATCAGTGGTTGTTTGGAGTGGGGGTGGAAGGAATGAAGAAATGGAGCACAGAGAATGTTTAGAGCAGTGGTTCTCAACCTTGGCTGCACATTAGAATCACCTGGGAATCTTTTTTTTATTATTAATTTTTTTAAAAATATTTTTTATTGATTTTTTTTACGGAAAGGGAGAGGGAGAGTTAGAAACATCGATGGGAGAGAAACATCGATCAGCTGCCTCCTGCACTTCCCCTACTGGGGATGTGACCGCAACCAAGGTACATGCCCTTGGCTGGAATGGAACCTGGGGCCCTTCAGTCTGCAGGCTGACACTCTATCCACTGAGCAAACTGGCTAGGGCAATGAGCAATTTTAAATTGACCTTATTTGTGTAGTTGGATTATGATTACATTTGTATGTCTAGCAGGAAGCAATTATTAGTCCTCAAAATAATTTGTAATTTGCTTACAAGTAAAGAAACAACAACGGTTATCTGATGAAGTATATAAAAATTCCCAGGTGATTCTAATGTGCAGCCAAGGTTGAGAACCACTGCACTAGTTGAAATAGAACTTAGAACACAGTGAACCTTAATTTAAACTGTAGGCTTGAGTAAATGAATCAATATTGGCTCATCAACTGTAACAAATGTAGCACTAATGCAAGATGTTAATAACAGTGAGAGGATAGGTAGGAACTCTGTGCTTTCCGCTCATTTTTCTGTAAACTGAAAACTGCTCTCATGAAGTCTGACTTAAAAACACACACACAACATAGAGCCTGTTCCTAACTGTCATCAGGAATATTTTTATCACCACCTGGGAAGGAACTTAATTTAGTTTTTGCAGCTGGAGTCACAGGCTTTGGGAACTCTCCAAGGTCCCCACAGGTCCACTTTCTCGACAGGAGACCCCGGCAATGACCTCATTCCCCTCTCCATGCTCGTTTCCTTATCTGTATGAGGGGGTGACCATGATGACATGATGGAGTGGGGATGTTATCCAGAACACCCTTGCTTATAAGGACACCAAGAGTGCTCCATGCTCACTGGCAGCAGACCCTTCTCCTCCCCTCACTGGGCATCTCAGAGAGCTCTATCTTACCTCCCTCTCCTTGCAGACCGGGCATCCAAAGACCCACCCCACACATTGATGGTTCATCTAGCCCTGACCCAGCCAAGGCCCTGTCCGTCCCCCGATACACCCCCAGGTTCACCCACTCAATACCCCCTCCCAGCCAATGTTCTGTTGTCACAAACATTTCTTCCTCTGTCCTCTGAAGTGGAGACAAGATGAGACACTAATACTGGAGGGGGGACAGCAGAAGGTAGAAGTTGAGACTCTGGAGCTCAATGTCCTGGGTTAATATTCCAGCTCAGTCACCCAAAGCTACAAGCTCAGCAGCTCTCACCCAGAGCTACAGCCACACCTGCTGGCCCCATACACAGAGGGGCACCCTTCCTGGGGCAGCAAACCGTGCCAAGACACACGCTCTGTTTTGGGCCATTTTGTGCAGCTGTTGAAACCAACAGGCAGATTGGCCGACTCTCCCCTAGGACCACTGAGACCAGAACGGCTTTGTGAGGCCCAGAGGTTAGGGAAGCGGTGAGAATGCTAACCTGAGTCCCCCTCCTCCCAGAGGCCGTGCTGGTGTAAGAACAGGCAACAAGAAAAGGCCAAATCTGCCTCGCTTGTCTCTGGTGCAGCATGTTCCCCAGTGAGGATCCTGTCTTCTGAGACTCAGGGTTCTGTGCACATGGGGACAGTGAACAACTGGGCTCACATCAGGCATCGGATAGTCTGCAGCTTTATTTCTTAAACTCAACTATGAAACAAAACCTTGGTGCTTGGAAAGGCCCATGCAAAACAATGCAGGGTCACTGGCTACTGGCCCTACTGCTTTTGTTCTAGGTGCTGGACGGCGCTGTTGGAGGACTGACAGGCAGGCAGAGTGGCCAGCCCCAACGGGAGTACGGGATGAGCCACCAAGGAAGGCTGGATTATCTAGGATGTCACCACCAACACAAGGTCCAGGCTGTCACTAGCAAGGCCAGTAGGGACATTCAATGACTGGAACCCCTGAGGCCATTTCGGATGCCACCAATGGCAGACCCCCCCCCCCCCCCCCCCCTATTGCTGCCACTCCCACGGGTCCCACAGCAGCTATGCTGGATGGGGACACCCAAGAAGCCTCTTCCAGGGTGAGCATCTGAGTGGTGGGCAAGCAGCCACCCAGCACAGTGTTCAGGGTCCTCCAGCAGGAGCTCTGTGCAGATGCCTGAACAGGGACATCCAGGTAGAGGCAACATCCAAATGGTCACAGCAATTCTGGAAGCGTCCAGGGCATCAGGAAAGGCAGGCCAGGCAGGGGAGACCCACCAGGGATGGGAGGTGCAAAAGGCAACAGGTTTGGCCTAGGAGCGATTTCCAGCTGACCCGGGTTCCCTGCTGATGCCCCTGCACCAGGTGGGGAAAGCAGACCACTCTGGCGCCTCCATTTGGCAGGGCGGGCAGAGGGCCTGCCTGGATTTCATATGGGACTACACATCCTGGAACCCAGCAGCCTCAGAAGACTGGACTGGGTGGGGCTCCGTAAGGCACAGCTGAGGGGAAGTGGGAAGGCCCCACTCTGGGTCTAAGGCTCAGCAGGGATGATAGATGGAGGCCCCAAGCAAACGCCGGGTCCCAGGAAATGTCTGCTCTGCACTTCACAGGAGAACAGAGGAGGGGAAGCGTCCGGGCATCAGGAAAGGCAGGCCAGGCAGGGGAGACCCACCAGGGATGGGAGGTGCAAAAGGCAACGGGTTTGGCCTAGGAGCGATTTCCAGCTGACCCGGGGTCCCTGCTGATGCCCCTGCACCGGGTGGGGAAAGCAGACCACTCTGGCACCTCCATTTGGCAGGGCGGGCAGAGGGCCTGCCTGGATTTCATATGGGACTACACATCCTGGAACCCAGCAGCCTCAGAAGACTGGACTGGGTGGGGCTCCGTAAGGCACAGCTGAGGGGAAGTGGGAAGGCCCCACTCTGGGTCTAAGGCTCAGCAGGGATGATAGATGGAGGCCCCAAGCCAACGCCGGGTCCCAGGAAATGTCTGCTCTGCACTTCACAGGAGAACAGAGGAGGAGAGAGGGGGGATGGAGGAAAAGAGGGGAAAGGTGAGGACAGATGGGGACAGCAGGGAGGCCACGGCCAGGAAGCAGAGAGGAGAAAAAGACACAGACACAGCAGAAGACAGGCAGAGAGGGGCAAGGAGACAGCTCAGAGGACCAGGCAGGGGAGACGGGCTCCTCCTGGGGTCCAGTTTCTCCGCCCCAGGACAGGGCAGAGCTGCCTGGCTCCAGCCCACCTGGCTCGAGGGGCCTGGCCGGGAGTCTCTGGCCAGCAAAGGAGGAGCTTCAAAGGGAGAAGGAACCCGAGCAGATTTGGGTGTAGACACCCTGGTCCAGGGGCAGGTAGTGTCCCTGCTTCAGGTCCAGGAAGAAGAGCCGGTCTGAGGTCTGGGATGGGTCAAAGCCTTCATGCTGCAGCCGTGTCTTCTGGATCTTGAAGGTGCCTGTGGGGTGCAGGGGGAGGTGAGGGCGAGGCAGGTGGCTTTCAGGAGCCCCCAACTCACCATCCTCTCCTGTGACTCCAGGCTTTTGCATATGCCCTCCCCGCGGCCAGGAACATTCTTCCCCGTTTTGCCTGCCCAACTCCTCCAGGTCCTTCAGGCCCAAGCTTCATGTCCCCTCCTTCAAAGGAGGCCTCTCTGACCATCCTCATCACAGCCTGAAACTGTGCACTCGCTGCCTGGTTACCTGTCTACTCCCCCTCCCCCCCAATGAGACCGAGGCAGAGAAGGGTCTGTCACACAATAGGTCAGGGGTCATCAACTTAAAGCCCAAGGACCAAATTCAATCCACCGCCTGTTCAGTAAATAAAGTTTTATTGGCACAAAGCCATGCCCATTCACTTACACACTGTCTAGGCTGCTTTTGTGCTACAAGGCAGACCAGAGTTGTTGGGGCAGAGAGTGTATGGCCCACAAAACTGAAAATATTTACTATCCAGGGTCTAAGAAAAAGTTTGCACTCCTGCAGTGGATGATTAAAGAAGGGTTTTGTAAAAGATAGGATTGGGGTTAGTATTAAAAAGCAAGGGAGAATACCTATGTGCCCTAGAGTTGGGAAGGTCTGTTGTTTTTTAAATATATTTTTATTGATTTCAGAGAGGAAGGGAGAGGAAGAGAGACAGAAACATCAATGATGAGAGAGAATCATCGATCAGCTGTCCCCTGCACGACCCACACTGAGGATTGAGCCTGCAGCCCGGGCATGTGCCCCAACCAGGAATCGAACCATGACGTCCTGGTTCATAGGCCGACGCTCAACCACCAAGCTGCGCAGGCCAGGCAGGTCTGTGTGGGTTTTTTTAAACAAAAATTCAAAAGCACAAACCATAAGATGAGAATACCTACGTGCTCTAGAGTTGGGAAGGTCTGTTATTTTTTAAATATATTTTTATTGATTTCAGAGAGGAAGAGAGACAGAAACATCAATGATGAGAGAGAATCATCGATCAGCTGTCCCCTGCACGACCCACACTGAGGATTGAGCCTGCAGCCCGGGCATGTGCCCCAACCAGGAATCGAACCATGACCTCCTGGTTCATAGGCCGATGCTCAACCACCAAGCTGCACAGGCCAGACAGGTCTGTGTGGGGGGTTTTTTAAACAAAAATTCAAAAGCACAAACCATAAGATTTTTTAAAAGGATAAATATGGCCCTAGCTCAGAGGTTAGTGTGTCGGCCTTTGCTCTGAAGGGTTGTGGGTTTGATTCCTGGTCAAGGGCACATACCTGGGTTACAAGTTCAATCCCAGACCCCAGTCAGGGCATGTGCAGGAGACAACCAATCAATGTGTCTCTCTCACATTGATGTTTCTCTCTCCCCCTCCCTCCTTCCTTCCATCCCTCTCTCTAAAAATCAATGGAAAAAATATCCACTCCCTCCCTCCATCCCTCTCTCTAAAAATCAATGGAAAAAATATCCTCCAGTGAGGATTAACAAAACAAAATAAAACAAAACAAAAAAATGATAAGTATGTGACAAAACTAAGGGTTTCTTTTCAACAAAGGCTATAGTGGATAAAGTTCACAGACTCCCAAATAGGAGAAGAGACTTACAATGTCTGAAATTGCTAAGTAATTAATATCCAGACCATTTTGAAGAACTCCCACAAATCAAAAAGAAAAAGAGTGAGGCAATACAAAGATGGGTGAAAGATCCGAGAAAGATCAGAGGTGTGCGATGATTTGCTCAAACTTCCATCAGAAAAATGCAGAAAATGAGGACATACTGAAAACTGAAGGATGTCTAGTGCGGTTGGGAATGAGGAATGGGAGTAAATATGTAAGTAAAACAAGAGAAGGGTCCTGCACAAGCCCATAGTGCCAGCTGGCTGTGAACCACTATGTCAGACTTGGTCTGAGTGCCTGAACCAGGACAAATACGGGGGTGGGGGAGGGGTGCAGCGAACCTGTGGTGTCCATCTGAGGCAGGAGACGCAGGAAGATGGGCCGGGCATAGGGTGCTAGCACCTTCTGTAGCTCCTGGTACAGTGCATTGGGGCTCAGCTGGCCATGGGGGTCTGCAATGGCCGCCATGCCTGCTTTGCCTTCTACTCCTAGAAACAGGGGCTCAGTTGAGAACACCATCCCTCGCCCGCCATGGGACCAGACACACCCACAGCAGCCCCTGGCCTCTGATCTCCAGTCCCTTCCACCCGGGCTAACACTGGCCAAAGCAGAAAACATTTTGCTGAGCTCCTGCTACACTCCTGCAACCCTGAGCCAGAGTCGCTTTCATGATCCCATTTTCTGGATGAGGAAACTGAGGCTCAAATCACACAAGAGGGGGGACTCCAGTTCCAGTGGCACCCACCCAGGCTGTCGTGTGCAGTTGTCCAGGATGTGTACTGCCCACGGGCACCTGTACCTTCAATCTCCTCCTGGCTGGGCTCCCTTGGGGCTGCCATACCCTAGGACCACCCCCACAGCCCCAGCTTGCCTGGCACGGCCACCCCGTACACGGCCACATCTGTCTGGCCCAGCAGGCGGCTCAGCACACCCTCCACCTCGGTGGTGGAGACATTCTCCCCACGCCAGCGGAAGGTATCCCCACTTCGGTCCCGGAAGTACATGTAGCCCAGCTCATCCATCACCAGCACATCACCTGGCAGAGGGGGGAGGGGAAGGTGAGATGACAGCCACCATCCCCACAGCCAGCCCCTAGGGTGTGCACACCTGAGAGGTAGGCACTGTCGCCCTTGCAGAAGACGCTGTGGGCAATCTTCTTGCTGGTGGCGCTCTCGCTGATGTAGCCATCGAAGCGACGCAATGGGTCCCGCTGGTTGATCTGGCCCACGAGGAGGCCGGGTTCCCCTGGGGAGGAGACCACACTCAGGTTGCACTAGGAGGGCAGAGGGCAGGGACCCCAGCTCTGGGAAGACTGAGTGAGGGCCCGCTCACCTTCCTGGCATGGGATACAGAGACCCTGGGCATCTCGCAGGAGTTCCATGGTGTCCTCATTGACCTTCACCAGCCGGATGGGGTACACATGGGGCAGGATGCGGCTGTTGAAGCCACAGGAGCCCACCTGGAACAAGGAGAACTGAGTCGGCAAGGAGCCCCAGGGTGGCACGTGTCCTCCCCCATAACACGTTGCCTTTCCTGCCCCAGGGCCTGGAATAGCACCCCCAGTGTCACCCCAGCTCTGTGACCCTGGGTGACCTGAAAAGGGGGAATTAAGTAGTGTACTCCCTAGGACTCCTCCTCCCACCTTCTCAGTCTCCCTTACAGTTGCAGGTGACCTGCTGGCTTGCTGCCTCTTCCTGGTCCACAAAACCCTCTACACTGGCTGAAGTGGGCACCTGGAGTGACCCTGGAGCCCTGTGGGGACACTGCAGAGCTGCTGCTCACTGCCCACAGCATGTCAGCCTGCCTGGATCAGTCTCTGAGCAAAAATGCCTGTCTGATGGGTTTGTGCTGCTACATCCTGTTGGGCATGTTTGTTACAGTAGCAACCTGTGCCAGTGAGGCCACGGTGGCCCCTGGGGATGTCCACTCAACAGATATGCACTGTGGGGGCCAGGCCTTGTAGTCAGGGGCCGGGGCCCCAGCAGCCAGCAAGACAGAAAAGAATTCTGGCCCTGGTGCTTGCTTGCTTATTATTCTCATCTGGTCCTGGCCTCGAGGAGGAGGAGGTTTGGAAGGGAGAGGGGCAAAGGCAGAAAGGAGGTAACTGCTAATCATAAAAGCATCTGTTTGCAGAGAGCGCCAGTGAGGGGCGCTGCACTGAGCTCATGATGTTGAGTAAGCAGAACACACCCAATGAGCTATTAAACCCCTGTTATAGAAGAAAAAACAAAGCCCCCCCCCAGAAACAAGGAGCCTGAGACTTGTCCAGTAGGAGGGGATCAGCACCCAACCTCCTCCCGTGGTGCCCATGAGCCCTGCTTTCCCTGCCACCTCCCCAGGTGGAAACTGAGGCAGCTGCCTAGCGCACACAGCCATTCCATGGACTTGAACTCAGGAGTGACAGTTACATGACTGTGCACTAGAAGAGGGTCCCCACATGTGGGGGCAGCCCAGAAGCCCTCTTAACCCGCCACTGTGCTCCGGGCCACAGTGATTCCCAAACCCGGACTCGTGCCAGACACCCAGCCACGCTCACCTTCCCATCCATGTTGGCGATGCTGCAGTTGCACTCGGTGGCCCCATAGAACTCGCCAATCTGGCGCACACCGAACCGCTCTGTGAACTCCTCCCAGATGGCAGGCCGCAGCCCATTGCCCACGGCCAGGCGCACCTGGTGCTGCCCCTCTGCCTCACGCACCGGCTGCTTCAACAGGTAACGGCAGATCTCCCCGATGTACTGGACCACCTGGCAGAGAGGGAGCACCATGGAGCCTGACACCCCAGGACAACCCGCCCCCCCATCCTGGGCACTAGAACAAAACAGCCCTAAGGTTCATGACTGTGGGGAAACAGCCCAGTCCTCCAAAGGGGCCTCAACAGGCCTTCTACGTAAATGATGCATTTGGTTCCCCCTCTGCCCTTCCACCGTCTCTCTATCCCCATGCTGCTTCCTGGGGACACCTTATGTGCTGCACGCAGGCCACGAAGGTGAGCCTCAGCATTGACACCCCACAGGGCAACTCAGCCCAGAGCCCATGTGCTCTACTCTGTCCCCCAGAGCCCGGCCGGCTGAACCCAGGCTGCCCGCAGCACCGCCCCTAGGGCGGGACCACTGTCAGGCACATACTCTATGTACTTTGCACTGCCTCTCAATCACAGCAGACGAGCCCCACCCAGTTGCCCTCCAAGTCACCTGCTCATTGACGCCCTCTGCAGGGAGTACCTGGACAGGAGCTGGGAGCTGATCATCAACCTGGGACCCCCAGCTAGGACACCGCTGAGTCAGGGTAATTTTGTGCAACCAACTAAGCCACACCTGCTTAACCACTTTATTTTTATTTTTTTTAACAGGGAAGGAGGGGCGGAGGGAAGCAGCATTATGAGAGACACATGGACTGGTTGCCATCCCTATGCCCCCTAACCGGGTCGGGGGATGGAACCTGCAACCCAGGTATATGCCCTTGACCAGGAATCAAACCCACAACCCTTCAGTGCTCAGGCCAGCGCTCTAACCACTGCGAGCAACACCGGCCAGGGCAAGGCTTAACCATTTTTAAAAAATATATATTTTTATTGATTTCAGAGAGGAAGGGAGAGGAAGAGAGAGATAGAAACATCAATGATGAGAGAGAATCATTGGCTGCCTCCTGCATGCCCCCTACTGGGGATCGAGCCTACAACCAGAGCATGTCCCTTGACCAGAATCGAACCCGGGACCACAGGCTCTATCCACTAAGCCAAACCGGCTAGGGCATGGGCTTAACCATTTTTAAGTGAATAGTTCAGTGGCATAAAGTACATTCACACTGTTCAACATCCATCTCACCATCCATCTCCAGAACTTCTCATCTTCCCAAACTAAAACTCTGTCTCCATTAAACATTAACTCCTCATTCCCAACCCCCAATGCTGGCACCCACTATTCTACTAACTGTATCTATGAATCTGACTACTCTACAGATTTCATGTAAGTGGAATCACACAGTATTTGCCCCTTTGTGCCTGGCTTATTCACTTAGCACAATGTCCTCAAGGTTCATGCACATTGTAGCATGTGTCAGAATTTCCTTCCTTTTATGGCTGAATAATATTCTACTGTGTGGATGGACCACATCTGCTTCTCCATTCATCTGTCGATGGACACTTGGGTTGCTTCCACGTTTTAGCTATTGTGAATGATGCTGCTATGAACATGGGTATACAGACATCTCTTTGACACTCTGCTTTTAAATCTTTTGTTTTAAAATCAGTCCTCTACAGACACAAACAGCCACACAGTATATTATTCCATTTACAGGAAATTTCCAGAACAGGCAAATCCACAGAAACAGAAAGCAGATTAGTGGTTGCCAGGGGCTAGGGGAGTGGGGAGGGAGTGACTGCTCATGGGTACAGATTTTCCTTTTGGGGTGATAAACATGTTCTGGAACTAGATAGCGGTGATGGTTGCACAACATTATGAAGGTACTAGACAATGAACTGTTCACTTTAAAATGGCTAATTTTATGTTATGTGAATTTCACCTCCATTTTTAAAAAGGTCATCATCTCTCAGAGGTTTTACTGAAACATCTATGCAGGAAGCATGCTGCTGTCTGGGTGTCTTCACATGCTGCAGGAGGGACTGGGATCTGGGATCTGGGTGGGGTTGGGGGAGGCAGTGACAGGTGCTCAGGAATCCCTCATACTTTCCTGTCCACATTTATATGCATTTGCAACTCTCAGTAAGTCAGATAAAAACCCAGACTGTCTGCATTTCAAGATTCAGATTAGCAACGTCCCCCAAGACCTCAGCCTAAGCAGAACGTAAATCCTCAAAAGCAGAGAGAGTACAGTCATTGCCCCAAGGGGTCCCCAGGATGCCCTGCCGAGAGCCCCTGCCCAGCTTTGTGACCTGGGATGGTGGCTGAACACCTGTCCACTGTGGGATAGCACCTGCCAACTTGCAGTCCCATTCTCTCCCCCCCTCCCCCTCCCTCTCCCTCTTCTTGGAGAAAGGGGCTAGTATCTGTATTTCCACCCCATCACAGTGGTGAAACCCTCCTCGTGGGGGGGTGGGGGGGAAGGGATGTGTCTTAGCCCGCCTGCTGTCAGGAACAGAAAATGTCCTCCATCTCTGCCTCATGCGCACCCCACCTGGAAGTCCCTACACCTTGTGGCCTTAAATATTAAATAGCCCAGGGTGGTGACTGAGCCCGCTGGTCTCATTTCCATTCAGAGCCTGTAGGGAAGACCCAGGAGGGAAGGAGGGGCCCAGGGCCCAGGGAAGTGGAGCCTTACAGAGTTCAGGCAACTTGGGCCCAGTTGCAGTTACACTGCAAGCCTTAGTTTCCCCATGTGCAATCCCCATATGCAAAATGGGTGTGATGTCTTTGCCCACTTCCAACGTGGGCAAAGGGTTAGCCCTGGGCTGGACAGAGCTCAAGAAACACTGGTCACCCTCTGTCCCCATCAGGAGCCCTGGAGAGGGGGTGGGAGAGGGGGCCGTGCTGCAATGGAGGACCTGCGGGAGGGGCGGGCCTGACCGTGCAGTTGTGCTTGACGCAGTCGTCCCAGAAGCGGCTGGCTGAGAACTTCTTGCGGAGGACAACCGTCATCCCGTAGAGGAGACACTGTCCCACGCCCATGATGTTCCCTGCAGAAGGCAAGCTTGGTGAGGGGTTCCCGGCCCCCCGTCCTGTCCCCCAGCCCCCAGCACCCCCATGGTACCTGCGGAGTGATACAGGGGCAGGCAGTCATAGAGCACGTCTGATGGGCGCATGCTGTAGGCGTGGTGGCCGAAGGCTGCGATGCGGTAGTACCTGTGAGGGCAGGGAGTGCAGGGGCTAGGACCTGCATCCTCCAGGGCATGGGAAGGGAGGACTGTGCTGGGAACTGGGGACACAGCAGCAAGCCAGGCAGAGCCAGCCCAATCCCCAGGCTTGCAGGCTGGCCGAGAGGCACATGCAGCAAACACAGAACTGTCCATGGTGCTGTGTGCCCTGAGGGATATAACGGGGCTAAGGGACAGAGAGGGGCTGAAGGTGACACAGCCAGGGAGGGTGGGGGATCCTGCCTGGGGAAGTGACACATTAGCTAAGGCCTGGCAAGGAGCTGAGGGGGCGAGCTAGGGAAGGGCAAGCAGGCAGTGGGCATAGCACCTGTAAAGGCCCTGAGACCAGAGGAGCCTGGCCAGACTGAGGAAATGTGAGTGGCCGAGAAGACAGTGAGCAAGGGATGGAAAGGAAGAAAACATCAGAGCAGTGGCAGGGCCACACAACATGAACGGGGGTTTTATTCTGAAGGCCAAGG